TTTTTTGTATTTTTAGTAGAAACGGGGTTTCACCGTGGTCTCGATCTCCTGACCTTGTGATCCGCCCGCCTCGGCCTCCCAAAGTGCTGAGATTACAGGCGTGAGCCACCGCACCCAGCCTATAATCCCAGCACTTTGGGAGGCCGAGGCGAGCTCATCACCTGAGGTCGGGAGTTCGAGACCAGCCTGACCAATGTGGGGAAATCCCGTCTCTACTAAAAATACAGAATTAGCCAGGCATGGTGGCACATGCCTATAATCCTAGCTACTAAGGAGGCTGAGGCAGGAAAATTGCTTGAACCCAGCAGGCGGAGGTTGTGATGAGCAGAGATCGTGCCATGGCACTCCAGCCTGGGCAACAACAGTGAAACTCCATCTCAAAAAAAAAATTATTAAAAAAATTTTGAACTTTTTACATTAGAAAAGAACATACATGAAATTAAAAGGCAAAGGACAGACTATGAAAACATTTGCAACATCTGACATGACAGACAAAGGGGTTAGGATATAACACCTTAGTGACTTGAGTCAGTAGGCTTTGGAGCTGGCAGACTACCATCCTAATCTCCATCACTTAACCACTTATCCTGGGCAAGTAATTTAATTCCTCGTTGCTCTAGGTTTCTCATCTGGAAAGGGGCATAATAATAGTACTTACTTCACGGAGTTGTTGAAAAGATAAAACAAGACAGTGAATGTATGTTACACAGCACAGTGCTTTGCTAAGAGGATGATCAGCAACTACCAAGCTTTTATTATTTTAGTACCACGCAAAGGTTGCTAAAAATCATTAAGAAAAATATAATGAAAACAACAGAAAAATGGACAAAAATATACGAAGGTAGCTCATAAAGAAGAAAAATAATGGCTCCATATACTAAACAAAGCAATGCAAATAAAACATAACAATTTTACCATTTCCCAGCACACTGAATTGACAGAAAACATTTTTAAGTGTGGTGAGATTTTAGGAAATCGACATTAGAGGGAATGAAATCGATTCATTCTTCTTACAGGGCAGTTTTGCAGTTTGATGATTTTAAGAAGTTATTCTAGGCTGGGCATGGTGGCTCACGCCGGTAATCCCAGCACTCTGGGAGGCCAAGGCAGGCGGATCACAAGGTCAGGAGATCAAGACCATCCTGGCTAACACGGTGAAATCCCATCTCTACTAAAAATACAAAAATCAGCTGGGCGTGGTGGCGTGTGCCTGTATTCCCAGTTATTTGGGAGGCTGAGGCAGGAGAATCACTTGAACCCGGGAGGTGGAGGTCTCAGTGAGCTGAGATCGTGCCACTGCACTCCAACTTGGGCAACAGAGTGAGATTTCATCTCAAAAAAAAAAAAAAAAAAAAAGACATGTACTCAGGCCAATGTTTAATAAAATTAATATAGCTTACTGCTTAATCAAAGACTTTCTTAAGTGTAACTGACTTTGTTTAATTTTTTTTCTTTTTTCTTTTTTTTTTTTTTCTTTTGAGACGGAGTCTCACTCTTTCACCCAGGCTGGACGGAGTGCAGTGGCACGATCTCGGCTCACTGCAAGCTCTGCCTCCCAGGTTCACGCCATTCTCCTGCCTCAGCCTCCCTAGTAGCTGGGATTACAGGCATGCACCACCCTGCTAATTTTTGTATTTTTAGTGGAGATGGGGCTTCACCACATTGGCCAGGCTGGTGTCAAACTCCTGACCTTAAGTGATCTATTCATCTTGGCCTCCCAAAGTGCTGGGATTACAGGTGTGAGCCACTGTGCCTGGCCAATTTTTTTTTTCTTTAAGACAGGGTCTCGCTCTGTTGACCAGGCTAGAGTAGAGTGGCATGATCTTGGCACCTCTGCCTCCTTGGCTCAAGGGATCCTCCCACCTCAGCCTCCCAAAGTGCTAGGATTACAGGGGGAAGCCACTGCGCCTGGCCTTAATGTTTATTCTTACTTTTATTGCAAGTGTATGGGACTAAAAAATAAAATGACTATTGTACAGTTTGGTGCCAATGCTTCGATTCATGCTCAGTAAAGCACCAGAAGTTTTACCCACCATTGCTTTGGCACCATCAATGCAAATATCAATACGATGAAAAACGTAAATATATTTTAATATTATTATGAAAATAGTTCTGACCTGACAGATCCCCTGAAAGGGTCTTAGGGATTCTCAGGAACCCATGGAGCACATTTGAAAAACTACTGCCTTATGGATTCCTCCTGGCTCTTACTGCTTCTAGGACTTATATTATGGCACTCACCATAAAGGACTGTCATCCTCTTTTCCATGTCTTTGTCACACTAGGAGCGCCTTGAAGATAAGTGCTATATCTTATTTGTTCCCGTCTCCCCGGGACCTAGCATAGAACCTGGGACGTGCTCAGTGAATAATATTGGATGAATTGAAATCTTACGATTTTCCCTTGACATCCCATTTGGTGGTGGGAAAACTGGGCTGAGAGCCAGGTTGCTGACAGCATCTCTTCTTCTGAACTTTCCTCCTCACTGTCAATTCATATTATTATCCATGCCTAGCCCCATGCTTATTTATTATTATTATTTATTAAGTACACAGGTGATACTTAATAAATGCTTATTAAATACAGGGTATTCCCTGAAATGTTTGTTTCATCTTGACCTCAATTATCCTCATTTCTTCCCTAAGGGATATTTGTGTGTATATATGTGTGTGTGTGTTTGTGTGTTCATATGTGGTGGGGGAATAACTTAACAAGGGCAAGCTCTCTAAACTGTGGAAGACAAAAGAAACCTTTCAAAATTTGGGCCTTGGCTCACAAACTCTCTTCCCACGGTCTGCTAGAGATCTCGCTGGGAATTTGCTGGCCACCTCACAATATCCATCTACTCCATTTGGCCAGAGACTTGTCAGTGGGGCGGGGAATTATTGTTTTTAGAGTAGTGAATGAAAGATAAAAATGAAAAAAGAAATTCCACTTTGGCAAACAATTGCAGGTCCTAAAATATTTGCATTTTGTTGACTGATTGAGACAGGGTCTTGCTCTGTCACCCAGGCTGAAGCACAGTGGCACGATCACAGCTCACTGCAGCCTTGACCTGCTGGGCTTAAGCGATCTTCCCACCTCAGCCGCCAGAGTAGCTGTGACTACAGGTGCCTGCCACCATGCCTCATTAATTAAAATTTTTGTTTTTAGTAGAGACAAGTTCTGACTATGTTGCCAAGGCTGGTCTTGAACTCCTGGGCTCAAGATATTCCCCCGCCTCAGCCTCCTAAAGAACTAGGATTACAGGCGTGACCACTGCACCCAGCCTTGTGCTGTATTTTTGTACATAAGCCCAGTAATTGCCCAATAGATCCATGATAAGTTAGAGATAAAATGATGCTACAGTATTTAACAAAAGGAACTTGGAAACAGTTTTCATTAATTAGAACTTTAGTATTTCTTTTCAAGCACACAGAATTTTCTTCATTGGTGGTTTTAAAGGTCAGAATCTGGGCATTCATGTTCTAAAATGGTGAGTAACTTTTAAAAAGTAAGTGATTTAATCAATTTGGTGATTTTTTTCCCCTTTATGGAAAACGACTTTTCAACTGGCTGATTTTTCCCTTGTTTTTAAATTGGAGCCTAGCACAGTGGCTCACACCTGAAATCCCAGCACTTCAGGAGGCCGAGGTCAGAGGATGGCTTAAGCCCAGGAGATTGAGGTTGCAGTGAGCCAAGATGGTGCCACTGCACTCTAGCCTGGGCAATAGAATGAGACCTTTCCTCAACAAGCAGACAAATAAACAAGCAAAACCCAAAAACCATAACACTAAAAAAGAATTACCTTATGATCCAGCAATACCACATCTGGGTATATATCCAAAGAAATTGAAATCAGAATGTTGAAGAGATATCTGCACTCCCATATTCATTTCAGCATTATTCACAATAGCCAAAATAAGGAAGTAACCTCAGTGTGTATCAGTAGATAAACAGTACACACACACGCACACATCCACACACACATACATACACACATACACAGGAATATTATACAGCCTTTAAAAAGAAATATCTTCTGTCATTCATAACAGCATGGGTGGAACTGGAGAACATTATGCTAAGTGAAATAAGCCAGGCACACACACACACAAAAAAACAAAAAACACTGTATGAGCTCACTTATATGTGGAATCTAAAAAAAAAGTTCATTTTGGCCCAGAACCTGGGAGGTGGAGGTTGCGGTGAGTGGAGATCGTGCCATTGCACTCCAGCCTGGGCAACAAGAGCGAAACTCCGTCTCAAAAAATAAGTAAATAAATTTAAAGGTGGAATCTGAGGCACAGGAAGGTTAAGCAACTTGCCCATGGTCAATAGCTAGTATGTGGCATAGCCAGAATATGGATATAGTCAAGCTGACTCCAAAGAATGTGCTCTTAACTAGTACACAACAGTATATTGCCTCCCCATGGTATATATCCAATATAGGTTTTCCATAAAGAAAAAATTTTGAGCTCATAAACATGTTGAGGTCTAAAAATCAAAACAATTGAACCCATAGAGATAGAGAAGGATGGTTACCAGAGGCTGGGAAGGGGAGTGGGGGGATTAGGGGGAGATAAAGATGGTTAACGAGTACAAAAAAGAGTCTGAATGAGTAATGCCTTGTGTCTGACAGCACAACAGATTGACTATAGTCAATAATAATTTAACTGCACACTTTAAAACAGCTAAAAGAGGCCAGGCACGGTGGTTCACATCTGTAATCCCAGCACTTCGGGAGGCTGAGGTGGGCGGATCGCCTGAGGGCAGGAGTTCAAGACCAGCCTGGCCAACATGGTGAAACCCCCATCTCTACTAAAAATACAAAAATTAGCCAGGCATGGTGGCTGGCACCTGTAGGCCCAGCTACTTGGGAGGCTGAGGTGGGATAATCGCTTGAACCCGGGAGGTGGAGGTTGTAGTGAGCCAAGATTG